ATAATTTTTTTTTGTTCCTGTGGAAAAATATTTTTTTTCATACTTGCCATAAGCTTTTTTTTTTTAAATATTTATTTTCATACTTGCCATAAGCTTTTTCTAAATCAGTTACATATTTCAGTCTTTCCTAGGATATAGTTAATTCACTTGAAGAATTGTACACAATTTTCACATACTTTTAATCAGAGTTTAGAAAGTTGTAATTTGTCTCAATGCTGATTTGTTTTGTTCATGGCGATACGCAACACGTAAAAAGACACAGTATAAGTCATTATAATCAGTAATTATGTTCCCACTGGATGCAACAAATGCCTCATTTGTAATGGGTTTTATTGGTGGTGTCTCATCGCTCCGGGACACGGCGTCACAGTATGGTAAGAGGCGTAACATTTCCGTCACACGCTTGAGGTATTCAGCCAATCATAGCGCACTGGATAGCTGGCCAATCAGAGCGCGCACCTTGCTTTTCAGACTGATGAGCTTTGTAAAAATCGACACGTTTCAGAAAGGCGGGGCATAGAGGAGCAACAATAATGTACATTGTGGAAAATAATGTGTATTTTGAACCTTAAACACATTGCATTACACCAAATACACAACATACTGTTCTTTTTAGCAACATCATATGACCCCTTTAAGGATGGTTTACATAGGATGCGTTTTTGCATTCTACTGTGCTACTTTTCAGTGAAAATAAGTTCAACGTTTAAAAAAACGAATCTCTTGACCTTGCATTTTCTTCCACTGTCCACGTCTCGTGTTTTTCCAAGCAAAAACATGTTCTGTGTGAATAGCCCCTTAGAGTTATTTATTTTTAAAGGGGACATCGGATGCTCATTTTACACAAGGTCTTCATGAAATGTCTGCAACATACGTTGGTTAAAAGTTCTCAAATGGTTGTTTAAAACACACTTTTTACCTTGTCAAAAACAGCTATGATCATACTGACCTGTTTCGGTGCAAATCTCTTTAAATGATAATGAGCTGCTGCTCACCCTGCCCCTCTCTTCCCTTTTTTTTTTGTGTATTTGGTGGCGCTTTACCATTAAAAACAAAACTAATCCACTGTGTCCTCAGTGGCTCTCATGAAAAATGAAGACTCTTAAGTTCACCTTTACATCCAACTACGAAACACCTGCATTGCTTACGAGACATTGTTGTCGCTACAGCTGCTCGAGCGCAGAGAAAATAAGAGGACAGCATACAACTGACTGAGGGCCAAAATAAGCTAATACTGGACAGTCCACCAGCGGTCGTGGGCGGGGCCTGAAAGTAAACTTTGAAATCTCTGTGGAGACTTCCAGAACCAAGGCTGAAGCCATTTTGTTATTAACGAATGGCTGCTTTAAAATATTATGATAAAATGCTTACTATATTTTTGATTGTACGTTTTACATATTGTCTATCCTCAATCAGATCCCCACGTGGAAGCAGCCATACACTTTCAGAGGAAAACAGATCAGGAAATCATGTGGTTCGACAGCCAGCAGGTCCAGATGGTACACAAGGCTTTCACCACCAGCGCAGATAGGAATAGCAGCCTTTCCTGGGAGAGGTGATAGTGGGTCTCCCAGAACACTGTTGAAATTCAGATCATTTTTATCAATAATTAGGATGTGGGATGTTTTTCAAATAAGTATAAAACCCTCTCGAATCCAGCACAGCATGTGTGGAATGTAACGGGGGAAAGAAACATGATCTCGGATGGAGAACGTTCCCCGCTTTTACACTGTGACGAGGACCTCGCTTCCGGACACTGCTCACTGTGATGTCCAGCCCCCAGCCCTCAAAATGAAAATAGAGAGAAAAGAAACCGAACTGCAGAACTATTGTCCCTTCCTCATGTAACTCAGCCATCACTGGGAAGCCAGCCTGTCATGTCGAGCCCTCTGAAGAGACATTTGAAACAGAAGAAAACAAGTGCTGGATGTGCTAGAACCGATAAAAGGATGGTATGAGGCACCAGCTTCCTTCAGCAATAATTCTAGAAATATCACTAATTATTCAGACCTCCCTTCCACACTTTCCTCTCAAGCTTTTGTATTGCTTGTGTTTGTCTTTTGTTTTAATTTTGGTTATTACTGGCTCAGTCTGCTAATTGCCATATGTTTTTAAATGGGTAAGAAACAGTGAGGGTATGTTGTGGAAACTCAAGCTGACTTTAAGTTCTATATTGTTTACGGTTATCTTTTTTTTTTTTTTTTCTCATGTTGTTTTACTCATGGGTCTTCCTCTGACTGTCCTGATTTCTACAAAGTAAAAAGAATAAAAACAAGAACTACTAGAGAATTAAATGAGTGCAGCAAATCACATTTTTAAACAGTTTTATATTATTTAAATAGGTTATTTTCAGACCTGTGTATTTTAAGTGAAATCCAATTGAAAGATGACTTGTGTAAATATTTGTTGTGCTGGGACGAACCATAGGGAGTGAAGCGGGGCAGGGGGTGATTCAGCTGGCTCCCCTCGCCTCACGTCTTTATCAAATCTGCTGTTGGCCATTTTCTTTTCTTTCGTTTTTATTTTTTACTTATGTAGGAACTCAGGTTGTTGTGAGGAAATCTGAGCGGATGAATGAAGTTGTGTATCAGTGGATAGGTTTTTAACTGAATGATGGTGCAATGTAAAGCTTACATGAAGTATGACTTCAAGATCATTAGAAAAACACCTCTATGACTGTATTACAGAATACCCTATAAGAGATTATTTAACGTTTATTAAAACCTAAGAGAAAAGAAAAGTGTGTTGCACCGGTGGCTTAACAAAATTTTAATGGAGTGTAAAGTTGACCTAGTTGCTTTGGCTCTTGCAATACAGTGTCTATACTTGAAGAGCCATACTACCTTTCTTGACTGTAACTCCCTGCTTTTTTTTTATTTCCTTCCTAAACCTTCCTATCCTGTACTATCCATAAGTGATATCTCAGTTTATGGAAATACCCTTTAATCTGATATGTCATTGTTCACCCATTGTGCTGTAACAAATCAGACCAGACGGGTTTGTCATGGCCTGCCTGAGAACACAGAAATCTGCCTGTAAATACTTTTCAAAATGCCCATTTAATAAAGACTTTTTAAATAAAAAGATCATTTGGAGATCATTTTTCAAAATATTTAAATGGGGGAATTTTTACTTTTGCCTCTAATGGCATCCAATGGTTTGCAGATGCATTATGCAAACTAGTCCTCTTCCTGTAGCAACTATGTGTCAAAATCAACTAAATCAATCCTCTAACAGTGTAACACGATCCGGGATGCCATTTAAAATAACTATCCACTTGTTCCTTACGCTGGGATCCTTCTAATGGCTTTGGCTGCGGTGCCATTTGAACTTTGAGCCAAGCGGATAAACGGTCCGTGTGGTACTCTTCAAATGAGTAGCGCGGTTTCATTTCGCTTTTGGTGTGAAAACATTATATTGAACATTTATCGAACTCTTGTTATGGTTTTATCGTGGAAAATTATATCCCGAAAATGTTGTTATTGTTCAATCGCCCAGCCCTATATCAAAATCATTCAAAGTCAGCATTAAATGAAAATTCTACCCTATTTAATAAATGCATGTTATTGATCTTTTTGTGAACAATTTATCCATGTTTTATTAAAAAATTGTCAATGTTCTCCAAATATTTAGTCTGCATAAACCCTGCCACATTTCTTTAGATCGATGTCAAGCTCACATTAAGCCCTGCCGATATTCAATTAACAACCGATGGATTAAACCAAGTCTCGGCTCCAATTTGTTTTCTTTTTCAATAATCTGACTTGGATATGTTACAATATGGAAGAAAACATCTGTTGCTACTTCCGTTTCATTGTGACTTTAATTAATGGTCGTAGACGTCACAGAGAATAAAGTCGGTAGCACGTATGCATTATCTTGTCAATACAACAACTTGGAAAAATCTTTTATGGTCCGCAAAATGGGGGAAAAAAATACAAGTTTAGAAACACTCAGTATTTTGTATTTAGGTTAGTAACTGAATTGAGCACTTTTCAAGGCAATAGGCCCTTTTTTATTTATTGTAAATATAATATTTCTTGGTAAATGCATTACATATCCTGGGGAAATATGTTTCCACCCCTTTTCTAAATCAATCGGAACACCTTTTCAAAATACTTAAAGGTTTTTATTTTTCATTTGTTTTATATTAGAAACACCATCACTAACAGTCCATTCTTGTTGCTGCATGATGAGTTTTATGCCATATATAATAGGCAGACAAGGACAACACGTGGTGCGCATACCACACTAGTGCACCGTGAGGTGGTATCAGATCTTTGGCAACCCTGGATATGTGCATTGGGAGAGTTGAAATTCTAAAGCAGGAGGTAGGTGTTAGCTAACACCGATGACGGAGCACTGTGTTGGGAACAAGGGTTGGTTCAGGGGCGGCCATGAGGGTGTTTCTGCAAGCTGGACATCCAGACGTTTGTACTGCTTTTTGGACTTGTGTTTTCCTCTGAGGTTGTGAAGGCAGTTCAGGGCACCTCGGTCAATAAGAATCTGTGAAGAGAAATAACTTTGCCGTTACTGATATTTGCAGCATGTTTCAAATGCCATGTGGTAATATGTGTATTTGTCTTTACCTCAAGCATGTAGCATATGAAGAAGTTGAGTGCAGCTACAGCCACCAGCAATAGTTTATAGTTCATATCGTTGATGTCATACAGCTGTAGCAGTTGATGGATGATGGTGTGACGGAAAAGAACCAGCCCGCTCATAAGTGCAAAGAAGACCAGCAGTGCACCTACAAAAAAGACTAAGAGAAACAAAAAACATTAAAAAGTTGAAACATCAATATTAGACTATGGCCAAAGTGAGTATTTTCTTTAAAAATCACTATAATTGTAAAATGGTTATTAGGACTGAGAGATGAAAATTATAACAAGGGGAAATATAAAAATGGGAAACATTTACATTTAGTCATTTAGCAGATGCTTTTATCCAAAGCGACTTACAAATGAGGACAATAAAAGCAGTCAAAACTAACAAAAGAGCAACAATATATAAGTGCAAATGACAAGTCTATATTATACACAAATATATATATTATACACACACAAAGAAAAACAAGTAGATAGAATAGAAAAAATAGAAAGCTAGTGTTTGTTTAAAAAAAAGATAAATATAAAGTAGAATTAAAATTGAATAGAAAGTGCTAGAGTTAGAGGGTCAAATAAAGGTGGAACAGATGTGTTTTTAGTCATTTCTTGAAGATGGTTAAGGACGCAGCTGCTCGGATTGATTTGGGCAGGTCATTCCACCAGGAGGGAACAGTTAATGAAAACTAATGAAATTAGTTAATGAATGTTAAAATGTTAATGAAACACATTTACAGTACATCTAAATGGTAATTAGTCGACATAAAATGGAACTCAAACCCCAAATTGGCAGTATAAACTGCTCAAATATCTGGATTCAGTCAGATTTACTGAATAGAAACTTTTTCAAGAACATCTTTTTTCAAACAAACTATCATTTGTTTACTCCATTATTTTATGTTGCTTCATAAAAGCCTGTATTTATAATAAAAGATTATCGATAAATAGGTTTATGGTGAATTTTCAATGCATTTTCTGTAAAACAATCTCATGTGTTAAACAGGTCTAATTGTGCACAACAAGGTCAAAATTTCAATTCTCACAATTGTAATACAGTGGTTTTTTGTAAGGATATCCTTTGGTTATCACAATAGACATGATGATATACTGGAATCCCGATAAGGCAAATATGCTCGTGTCCTCCATGTTGGGCAAGTTTGCAGCCCCCGTCACAGTGGAATTTAAAGGCACATACCTGAAAACAGTCACAGAGTTATAAAACAACAGTTGTATGGAGCTGCAAAGATTTTTTTTAATGTTACCCAAAAAAGTGTTAGTTGCTTACCAGTCTTGTGACACAGTGATAAGCAGGCCAGACACCTGGGCTAGGATCAGCAGCACAGTGTGCAGCAGTAAACTAGACAGGACTGGCAGAGACAGAAGACTGGCAGCAGGTCGCTGGGGATGGAGCTCATCGCTGGGACCTCCCCGTCCCATCACTATAGCCAAAACGGTCACCAAAACTAAATCAAAAAAGAGGAACTGCAAGTCTCCCAAGTTTGTTTTCTCCTACAATAGACAAAATGAGCCACATAATTAACATTACTGTTAAAATGCCCTAATTACATCATTGTATATTTGGATATTAATTTCAGCTGATTAAAAAAAATGTAATGTAAAATGGACCGCAAACACTCACAGTGTAGAGAATAAGTACAGAGGCAAACTGGATCAGACTGTACAAAGCCATGTACTTGAAAAGACTGAATGATGTTACCAGTGAACACCTGCCTTCCCTGTTTAAATTTTAATTTCAAACAAATTAGACATTAGATTTTGTTACAATAATAGTAATAATCATACCCATCATAAGTTTATTATTATTATTATAAATAAATATGAATACTAATACAAAATTATTCTACATTGATATTATAAAAACGCGAGTCAAGAATACAATATCCAATTAAATAAATTATTGTTGTTTATTAAAACTAATCATCATCATCATTATTAATAATAATAATAATAATAAAAATGATTGTTGTAAAATTATTCACAATAATAATAATCACAATCATAATAACAGTTTATTAAATGTAATTAACAACAACAAATTATAATGAATAAAAACAAAATACATATATATATTGATTAAATTATATATTGATCAAATACAGATATTGATCCTATTATAATACCTTAAAGGTGTCCTATTATGTTTTTCACATATTTTACATTATTACAACACCTCTCTCCCCAGTCTGGCATGAACGGCTCGAATAGTTCCTGCATCAAATGAAGGCCCGCCTTCTGAAACACGAAATGTGCTGTGATTGGTTAGCTGGGCCAGTGTGTGTTGTGATTGGCAGTACTCGGCGCCTGGTCGGGAAATGTCACGCCCCTTACCATAGCCGCCTGCGAGCTCCAGTGTAAATATTGCATCAAAATCAATTCAATTTGAGGGCGATTTAAACCCGGATGATTGTAACCACTCTAAGTTCGACTGCCTTGGGAAAGCTAGCGTGTCTCCGACATAGTGATAACACTCGTTGCCTTCTCTAGTGCAGCTCAACCAGGTCTCATCCCACTCGTCGATATTTGTGATATCACAAATCCTGGAAAATATGCGTTGTAGTCCAAACGAGTCGTTCGTTGTAGTTTTTGAAAATTGATTTCTGTTAAATAAAATATCTTGGACATTGAGCTTTATAACTTCGCAGATCTTTTTGTATGTTCAAACAGCAACATTACAGACTAACTAAAGTTGAAAAAGTGAAAAAGCATAATAGGACCCCTTTAAGCCAAAAACAATATTTATTATTCAATTTATGCATAAAATCCATGCATAAGAATGGTAAAATTGTGTTATTTACTTGATGAGTAGAGGCACGCAGCTAATGTTGTTAGACTTGGATGTGAAAGGAGACGCCACAGAGGCCTCAGCCTCAGACAACGACACACCGACATCAGCAGCCCTCAATGCTCCACAGTCATTGGCTCCATCACCACACATGCCCACCCTGTAACTGCACACGAGTCAGGAGATATGGGCATTATATTCAATGTTACAAAGCCCTGCTAACAAATTCAGTGGTTATGTATTAATGATCATTTATCAATCTACATTTCTAGCTGTCATTTCTACATATGACTCAAGCAAATGTACAATACCACAAAAACTGGACTCACTTGAGTTTCTGCAGTGCTTTTACCAGCTGGGTTTTCTGTTCTGGGGTCATGCGGGCGTACACTGTTCCCCTCATCAGAATCTGGAACACAAAAACAATGAGCACTGTCAATCTCCAGAAAATGCTTTGTGCCCACCAGTCTAAAATTGGAATGGATCAATACTCCTAAAACTTAATCTAAGTCACCTTGGGCAAATATTCAGGGAAATGATCACAAAGTGCCGCAAAGGACATGCCATTTATAGCCAAATGATAGCCAGCACCGTTCTGATAGAGACCCTTGTGGTACAGGAAGAGGACATATTAATCTCTTTGCGTTTCTGAATTAATAAAAACTCTTTATAAGACATTACTATGTGATATGTCAGTGGTAACATCTGTAAAGCACTTAAAAGGTCAAATAAGCAAACCTGTGCTGCCATATCAATAGTCTCCTGAGTATTAATGGTGGCTACTGCACCATCTCCTTGATGAAACTGCAGTGAGGCCATTGAACTGGCAGTAGGGGGCGATGCATGAACAAAAATAACCTTCTCATGTGACAGCACCATTCCACACGCATGTGCTACATTCACAGCAGTGAGAATATTGTCACCTGGTAAGATCAGAAAAACAGCATGACCAATCATTTTCACTTGAACACTTTTTTGTGTCAAAAATTTAACTAGGCTTTTTTAGATTACACGTGTTATTTTTGGACTTACCTGTAACCATAACAGGCCGTAATTGTGCCAGTTTAAGTGTGCGAATAACTTCTGCACTCTCTGGCTTCACCTGGTTCTTCATTACTAACAGACCCAGGAAGTTCATGTCTTTCTCCACCTCCACCCTACAAGCAAACATTTACTGTGAACATGAGGCAACAGACATGCATCCGTCTATTTAAATATCTAAATATCTATTTATTATATACATAATAAGTTAAATACATTAATGATCAAGTTATTACTAATAATAATATTTCACAATGTTTTCACTGTATTTAAGTTCAAACAAATACAGATTTAGCACAACAGACTTTTTTTCAAAAACATTAACAATTCTTACCAACCCTAATTCATTGAATGCTATAATTTATAAAACAAAACAGCTGACCTTTCAACAGTGCTTAGGTCGGTCTCCTTAGTGAGGTGCTTGTAGGCAAATCCAAGGACCCTGAAGCCCTGGCTGGTATACTCCCGGAGAATGGGTGAAAAATGAGAAGGCACTGTCACAAGGAGAGCACAAAGACAGAACAACACTGAGTGCAAAAATAAATAGGCAGTGTTCCATATGCTCCTGCTCGTTCTTCTGAAGGTGATATAAGAACCAGGGCAAGTTTTAAGAGAAAGGTCCTCACTATTTTCTCTACGGCAGAAGCTGGCAACCATTTCAGGTGCTCCTTTAAGGAATGCGACAGGAGAAGCTCCACCTGGACCAACGGTCACCACACTCATCCTTTGCAAAGAAGAGGAAAACGGGAATCGCCGTATGATCGCCACAGGCTGACTGACAGACTGAAAAACACATAAGAGGACAGGAAAATCAGGATTAAAACATTATCCTTATCTAGTATCTGGGATGAAGATAGTTGAACCAAAAATTAACATCATCCACATGCCGTTCCAAACCTCTAGACTTTATTTCTTCTGTAAAACGCAAAAGATAATTTGAAGAATGTTGGGGTCCAAACAGCACTTGACACTATTGACTTTGAATTGTATGGACAAAAAAAAGTTCAAAATATCTTCTTTTGTGTTCCACAGAAGAGATGAAGGCATTCAGGTTTGGGTGAACTATCCGTTTAATTCATAATCAAGCCCCAAAATTTCAAGTAATTTCTGTGAGCTTCTGTTGTCACACCCAGTGCCCATTTTCTTGTTCTGTATATGAATCAACTTACATTTCCTTGTGATAGGAGCTCAGATGCAGGAGGTCTCATCACTGCTAGCACTCTGTGTTTGCCAAATTCAGAATCAAGTCCCATCTCATTCTCTGGCTCTGTCAGTTCCTGTCATTTGCATACAAGATGACATCAAAGTTGCCATAAAACCAATCAAACAAAACACAGATTCATATATCGGTCATACGTAAAAGACTTAAAAGAAATGAGATGCAAATAGCTGAAATCAATCACTATCTATAATGTTGTTCCAAACCTGTAGAACTTTATTTGTTCAGTGGAACCTAAAAAGAGGAGTTACCTTTATGCTGTTTTTTTGTCACTTTTGAAATTTGACAGCCCTTGGTCACTGTTCACTTTCAATGTATTGAAAAGAGCTACTGCTATGGGTTTCATTCTGAACAGTGAGTTACCATTGATGTCCATCGTACAGGCAAAAAACACATTTTTATGTTCCACAGAAAAATATGAAGTCATACAGGTTTAGAAGGACATGACGGTGAATAGAGAAGGAAAGAATTCACATTTTTGGCTGAACTATCTCTTTAGGAACATGAAACACTGCGAGAAACCAGCCATTACCCATCCAGTTGATTCTATCATTTTGAGCTCTAGTGGGTCTCCGAGTGCTTGACCCCCCAGCAAAGCCAAAGAATGGCAGGAGGCAAGTGCAGAGAGCATCAGTCCAGGAGGGAAAATGAGAGGGTCAGGGACCAGCTCACTAAATACTGCTCCACTCACTACCATCACGCCCCATATATCCAGACCCTCCTCTGTAAGAGTGCCAGTCTGAAACGATCACAGCATTCAGTCAGTTTTTAATAGCAATATATAGAACTTTGTCACAACTGTTTCATTGAACCAAAAGAAAATGAGACACAATTTCACTCTTTTACTGTCTTAACTTTAAAATGAGTTAAAAACACTGTAAGATCAATATGAATTATAAACAAATGCCTTGAGCAGTTGCCGTTGACACAATATGTGTATATATATATATATATATACATACACAATGCGGTGAGGATGTTTGACAGTAGCACATATAGGGACATATAGCAGCACATTCTCATTCACTTGACAGGATCTTGATGTTTCACAAGACAGCAGCAGAGATGATTAGCAAGTGAAAAGCAGAGATCTTATCAGTCATGGCTAAACCTTTCTTGCACAATGTAGCCTCCAACAAACTCATTTTCTTCACTTTGAAACCACATGATGCTTGCAAGAATGCAATAATATGCTTAATAATTAAGGGATGAATTTAGAATAGGCTGAATCAGTAAAGAGCATTTGCCCTCACTACATCCTAAGTGTCTTTTTTTGTTGAAAGAGTTATAAACATTTTTGCTTTGGGAAAAAAAAAGCATTTAAAAAAAAAATTTAAATTAAAATGACATTTTACCTACCATAAAATACAAACTCTTATTGAGTATAGTTTACTAAAAAAATCTAGTTATTATTAACATATATATATATATATATATATGCAAAGCAATCCAAGGTTAATAATCTAGTAGTCAATAAACCTATCCATGTTAACTAGATTACGTGTAAAAGGAAGTGACATGGGGAGTTGTCACAAACTGACAGTAAAAGAAATAAGTTGTCTACTGGACTAGCCCAGGGCACTTATGATGTAATCATTACAAAAACTGAAGTCTGCACTGAGTAATCAAACAAAGTTTATTTTAACAGCCTGAAGCTTAGGCTTTGAATAGCCAAATATAAGATTAAGCAAAGGCTTAATCTTAATATGCCGGAGTTTAACCATCCCTCCACAAGATATGAATCATCAGCACAGCATTTTTTATGAAGCAATAAAGATCGTTCCAACAAAGGATCTCCCGAAACCTTGTTCTCTCACCTTATCAAAACAGAAAAGTGATGTCTTGCCACAGATATTAATGCGAGGTGGGCTGATGCAGAACACCCCATGACGCTTCAGCCGATTCTGGGCGTAGATAGTGGCTGTAGTTATAGCAGCAGGAAGAGCAGGTGGAACTATTATTGTCACAATATCCAGAGACCGGATGACTAGCTCTTGCCAGGTTGTCTGATGACAGAAGAAGTGGATACACAGCGAAATTAAAACGAATCTTGAGGTGTAATTATTTGTTAACTATTAACTATTAATAATTCAACAGTTTTTATTTCGGATGAAAGCTTCTGAATCCAAATTTCTATAGTCAAAGAAACCTTGACTAACATTAGAGGGAAGAAAACTTAAAGGACAAAAAAAAAAAAAGGTAAGATATGACCTTAAAACTACTTACATTGCTCTTTGAAAGTATCACAATGCTATAAATAGTGCCGACCAGAGCTGAAATACAGATATTCATATCAATGAAGGCCCATATTCTGCATTATGAGACAAACAGAAACAAATGTCATTATATCACATACATATATGAAGCTTGCAAATAATCCAACTTACCCACAAGTCCTAGAAATAGAAGGAACTTCATAGCATCCTTGTAGAAGCGAAAGTCTAATGGCTGAGGGTAAAGGATAGAACTAATAAGGTCTCCTTTGGCAGTAAAAAACCCTGAGGAACATAAACAAAAGTTTGTCATAAAATGAAAGTCTACTGTTGTAAAATTTGGGGTCAGTATGATTTTTACAAGTTTTTAAAAGAAGTCTCTAATGCTCACCAAGGGCTGCATTCATTTAATAAAATACAGTAAAAATAGTAATATTTGGAAATAATATTACAATTTAAAATGAGTTTGTTTTTTTTCATTTTGATATATTTTAAAATGTAATTTATTCCTGTGATGCAAAGCTGAATTTTTAGGATCATTAGACACATGATCCTTCAGAGTTTATTCTAACATGCTGATTTGGTCAAGAAACATGTCTTATTTTGATCAATACTGAAATCAGCAGTGTTTGTGGAAACAGTAATACATTTTTTCAGGATTCTTTGATAATTAGAAAGTTCAAAAGATCTTTTATAACATTAAATCACTTTTGAGCAATTAAACATTTTTTTTTTAAAGACCAAACTTTTGAACGGTAGTGTATAATCAACAACAACAAAAAATTAAATGCAATTTTTAGGATCATTAGACACATGATCCTTCAGAGTTTATTCTAACATGCTGATTTGGTCAAGAAACATGTCTTATTTTGATCAATACTGAAATCAGCAGTGTTTGTGGAAACAGTAATACATTTTTTCAGGATTCTTTGATAATTAGAAAGTTCAAAAGATCTTTTATAACATTAAATCACTTTTGAGCAATTAAACATTTTTTTTTTTAAAGACCAAACTTTTGAACGGTAGTGTATAATCAACAACAACAAAAAATTAAATGAATTTATTTATAAGTCACCTGTGCATGTTACAACAGCAATAGCCCCATTCCCAGCAGACCCGCCTCCTTTAGCCTGGATGAGCTGTGTGCCACAAAACAAAGTGTGTCTGCGTTGAGACTCTGGACTGTATGCGGCTTCAGACACAGACAATGGCATCTTCATCTCTGGTATGCTCTCACCTGTCAGTGAGTACAGAACAAAAAGTGAGAACAGAAGAACGGAAAACCATCTAAATGCATGTAGATTTACTGCAATGCACAATTTCAGAGGTGGTCTGTATTCTCTCACCGGTCAGCATGCTTTCGTTCACCATGCACTCCCCTGCCAGCAGGGCGGCATCACAGGGCAGAAGCAAACCCTCGGCTGGAATCACAATACAGTCCCCTGGAACCAGCTCCTCAGAGCTCACACACTCATCCTCTGCAAAAACAAACAAACGTAGTTGCACAAAAAAAAACTAAGCAACATTGGAAACATTGCGCCTATTTCTGGCGTTTGATAAGCAGCTTCACCTCCAGTGTCTCTGCGCACGGTCACGTTCACTATCAACCGGGCCATGCTGCGGAGAGTGGTGCTTTGCTGCAGAGACAAAAAACAACCCCATACTATTTCAATTCACAAAACATCAAAAGAGCTCTGAAGACTTGAACATGCAAATAATATCTGCATACCTTACGGATCTCATAAAGGGACACGCCGATTGAAATTAAGGATATGATTAGGATACAAGCAGCATAATAATAGTATCTGTCTGACATCCACAGGATGATGCTGAACACCTGAAATATGTAGAATGGATTGAGAACCTGAAACAAAATACAGAGCAGATCAATATGTGAACCTTTCACAAAGCATTTCATTTACAAATCCAGTGAATGATGCCGTTTAATCACAGTGTTTATAATTGCAATATATTGATTTTACAGTGTTTTTAAATCATTATAGAGTTTGAAAAAAAGTAATGGAGAACAGGTCTACCTCCTCAAAGAGAAGTTGTAAATAAGTCTTCACAGGTACATCAATGATATTGGCCCCAAAAATCTGCTTTCTGTAGGACAAAGAACGTGTAAGCATTTAAAGCATCTAATAAGCAGTTATGTTCATTGCTCATACAGGCATTAAAAGGGTACAGACCTTGTGCTTTGGTCTGCTTTACTCAGTCCTTGCTTTCGGCCATGCAGGTCAGCGCAGGTCCTGCCTTCATTGAGAATGCTGGAGACAGAAGATAATTTAGTACCTCACAATTTCAGACAGCTTTATAACCATAAAGAGAGGAAACCAACACGTGCATAAAGAAATATGAAACAGTACCTTGCTTTGCAAAAGGCTCCTTTTCTGGCAATCCATATGTAGCGCATGCCCTCAAACACATAGTATCTGAGCAATGTTTTCTAGATGAAAGAAAAACAAGATACGATCAAGCAGATGGACTCAAAATGTACATTACACCGTCTGTTTTGACTGCCCTTATGTTACCTTTTCACTGTGTAGCTGCACGGTGTCTCTCCATTCGTTCTCATCTGCTTCTCCTACTGCAAACTCCAAACTGGAAAAGTTCAAGCGTTAAATTAATTGCTCTATAAACGTGATAGAATATTATCGAAGTATATAATTAATGTACAAACAAATAAATACAGTAATTAATTTTTAAATTATTTTTTTTTTAAATTAAAATCTGAATAAATTCATTTGAGTATAACAACTACTACCACGAAATAAATACTTTTTAAATTATATATAATTATATATTACCATTTAAATACTATAGACTTTTTCTTGCATTACAGCAATGACAATTTAAGTGTGAAAAGGTCTAATTGTCATGAACATAATGTCACAATGAAAACATTTTGTAATGGGATTAAAATGAATAAAAATGTAACTAAAATACTCTAAAATTACATTGTTACATTAAATTATTCACCAATGACATTACAATTTTTTAATTTTGGTGGTAAAATTCAATATTTGTATAAATATAAATCTAAATATAGCGCTATGTTATAGGTTTGCACCTTCACAACTTTTAGTAAAACAGTTACAAATTATTTTAAAATGCAAAGAATGGGTTAACACAAGTAGCTGGTTCCTTTCTGAAATAAACTTTTAAAGCACTTAAATACAAAAAGGAGAAGCATGAGTAATAAATGTACTGCGGGTCTCACCTGGCTTCCTCAATCTCCTCTGTAAGCACATCCACAACAAACTGCTTTCCATTTCGGTCCTGTCATAAACAAATAAAAAATATCCTTCCTTATTATGAAAAGGCTGTGGTTTACTGTATATTGTTGTTGTTGTAGCCCTTTATTGTCACTGGTCACAGGTACCAGCGAAATTAGCCATCCACCTGTCCATACATACAATATGACAAGGGGGTAGACAGGACAGGAGGACAGGGAATTTAAGAAAGAAATACAGCATAACATGAGGGAGGGGAGGAGATAAAAAAAACACAGACCCCAGACTATGCTCCTATGGGGTGCACAGTGTGGGAACAGGAAAAAAAACACCTCAGCAACATAAGCACATCAATACAGCGTGAGACACACGACTTGCAACAGGGTAGGGGGAGAGGGGGGTGGAGGTAACCCAGCACAGGCAAGCAGCCATCCGGTCCTGCAGCCATTCTCGGCGCTGATCGCAGACCCGCTTGTCAGACTGGCGGAACAAAGCGGCGAAGGCGAGGGATCGGGGGGGTCGGGGGGATGAATGCATATCTTTATATATGTATTTCATTCAACTGAACAAATGTATGACATCCCGTTTTATTCATATCTCGTGCGAAAGAAATGTACAGCTTGTAAATACACAAAATGATGGATTAAACTGCAGTCGGCTGTTTCATATGTTCAGCTCTAGTGAGATTTCTTTTAACGTTAGTATAGACATGCACAGGCGAACTGCACTTACCCATCCCTGGCGAATCCATATATGAACTATAACGTGAGTGCTAAAGGCCATACTTTTACTCTAGGGCCATCATTTTTATTACACATTATTACCGCGGAAACTAACAGTTTGTGATTCAAGTGTCAGTTCTCTGAATGTGACGCCAGTCTTTCTTCCTTTACGATCTTTTGTCATCTCACCCATTCAACACCGCCACCTAGAGGACATCACGAGACTTACCTTCTCTACATCGAATTTACTCTGCAGAAGCATGCAGTGCTGTACTATAAAACATATCTTCTAACCTATGCAGCGCACACAATTTGTAAACAAATGACTGTCATCTGAAACTGAACTGTTTTTTTAGCAAGTATAGTACATTACGTGTACAGTTCGAATCTACCACACAAAAGACAAACTAGGACACAAGACAAATGTTACACTATTATATGTTCAATATTATGCCATTTTTACAGGTTCCTGCATTTGGATTAATTTATGTACAGTATAACTACAATCAAGTTTAAATGGAAATGAAATGCAGGTCCAGTTGTAGATTTACTGTTCATTAGCAGTAAATACAGGTCTCCACCATCAAATAATGTAAAAACTAAATATCCCATATTAGCGACCACTCCATGCTGAATTCACACATTTACACAATAATTTAAACCATTAAGTACATGATATTTCCTGCATTAACAAGTCAGATGGCAGACGATTTCTTTTCTTTGTAAGTGGCCATCATTTTCTTAATTTCTGCTATGGCTTTTCCAGGATTGAGTCCCTAAACAGAAGAGAGGACATGAACAGATGAAATTAAATACAGAAAAAATGGGAGACACTCAGAGGCGGACAGTAGTGAAGTATTTTTACTTTACTCAAGTAAATTAAAAAAGTATCTGTAGCTTTGGAAAACTTTACTTCACTACATTCCAAAGCATAATGTCATACTTTTATTCCATAAATAAAAGTTGTTGTTCGTTTTACCTTTAATACTTAAGAACATTCAAAATGTAGTACTTTCTTGTACTCAAGTAAATCTTTGAATTACTTTTACTTGAGTAAAAGTAAGAAAGTAATAGATTTCTAATGTAATTAAGTATTAAGTCATATTTCATATGAAACGTAGTGCAGTAAAAAGTACAATATTATGCTTTGGAATGTTGCGAAGTTTTCTAAAGAAAAACAATCTGATAAAGTACAGACGCCTGAAAAGTACTTTTACAGCAGAGTAAAAATACTTCACTACTGTCCACTAAACATAAGCTATTGCAAACAAACATTTATTAAAGGGACAGTCCACCCAAAAATTAAAATTTTGGCTCCCATTGTAGGTGTTGTCCATACAAAGGGATTCAAAGGAAACTGAAACGGTTTGGTTACCAACATCATTTAAAATATCTTCTTTAAGGTTCCACAGAAGAAAGCAAGTCACACAATTTTGAAATGATGAGGGTGAGTAAATGACAGATATTTGGGGGTGATCTGTCCCTTTAATTTTCAACAACAGAGTGTCTAATTCATCTAAGTAAGGTGTAGCTATGCAGTTTGATGGGAAAATGGCATACCTTGGGACATGACTTTGTACAATTCATTATTGTGTGACAGCGGTAGAGGGAGAAAGGGTCCTGTAATTTGGACAGACGCTCTTCTGTAAAGTCATCACGAGAGTCAATCATCCACCTATACGCCTGAGAATTAGGTACAAAACAGCAAAGATGTGAGGCCAAAGATGTAAAACTCAATGCTGATCCAGACTAACCAAGACTTAACTGGTAGATTTATTTTTGTAAAATCAATAAACAATGATAAATGGCTGTTTATTGACCATATAAGCAGTGTTATAAAGAGACAAATAAATACCTGCATGAGCACAGCTGGACCAAGGTACTTGTCTCCATTCCACCAGTAACTAGGACAACTAGTGCTGCAGCATGCACACAGAATGCATTCATACAGGCCATCCTATGAGCATGTGTTTAAAAAAATCATTAGCAAAAAAATCACCATCACCCTTCACACTGAGAGAATCAGCAGAGTGTCTCGAACCAGCTTTTGACGGTCCTCGATTGACTGGAGGTACTGCTCTTTTCCCTGCTTTGATTCGTCCTTCTTTTTCAAATAGGGCTCGATGGACTTGTACTGTGCATAAAAGTTGCTCATATCCTAAAAAAACCCAGGAAATATGAGTGTAGGATAAGTTTGAAATTTTAGGTTTGTTCTATCTGACAAATAAATACTCATATTATCATATGTTGTTGCTGGGATTTTCAGTTTACTCACAGGGACAAGATCTTTCACAACATACATGTGAGGCAGGGGGTAAATCTTCGTCACTTTGCTGGTATTTGTATCTATTTTGTTTAAGCAGGCTAAAGTGTTGCCTCCGTTGATGTTCATAGCACATGAGCCACAGATACCTGTAAAATTATAGAAATTTCATAACATGATGTTACATATTAACAGAATAGTTCACCCAAAATTTTAATTAGCTAAAAATGTAGATGAAGAAGTAGATGAGTTTGTTTATTCATCAGAGCATATTTCACTTCACTCTGCAGTGAATGGGGGCTGTCAGAATGAAAGTTCAAACATACAGCTTTTCACTTTAAAGGCATTCATTGATAAACTGGAGTCACGTTGATTACTTGTGGACTATTGTGATGTTTTTATCAGCTGTTTGGACTCTCATTCTGACGGCACCCATTAACAGCAGAGGATCCACTGGTGAGCAAGTGATGTAGGCTAATGTTACATTTCTCCAAATCTGTTCTGTTGAAAAAAACTCATCTAAATCTTGAATGGCCTGAGGTTGAGTCCATTTTGGGTTGACTTCTCTTTAACAGGACACAGAATTGATTTTATTTTGTGCTCAAAGGAGTAAAATGTATTTATTCTTAATTCCTTTTAAGTTTTTTTTACCCTCTCTACATGAGCGTCTGAAGGTGAGTGTCGGGTCCATTTCATTTTTAATTTTGATGAGAGCATCAAGAACCATTGGACCACATCTAGGAAGAAAAAGTGTCATTACAATTTAGTGATATTTAATTCTTAATAAATAATAGCATTTAGACATGGAACACATGACAACAAATAAATTATGACTAAACTGATTTACTTAGTGTTCAGCAAAGCAAAAGTAAAGCAAATGCAGTAAAGCAACTGTTATGACTATAACTTCAGTGTAAATATTGGTGCTTACGTGTTCAAATCAATCTCATAGGTTTGCATGCGGGGCTTGTCACCAGGTGTGTCAGGGTCCCATCTGTAAATCTGAAATCTCTTTATTTTTGGCTCAGGGGCAGGGGCAGGGGCAGCTGCTGTCTGGGCATATCGTACCAGCTGGGGTAGTGAGAGGAAAGTTCAACATAAGACATGTGATGCTAAATGCTGAGTTTACAGACATTACATAAATAAATAAAAATTGCATCCCTCCAACCTTAAAATATATTTGGTAAAATTAAAACAGATCTATATTATTTTCATGGCTACGTCAAGTAAGTAAATACATAAATATGCCAATGTCTTTTTATCCAAGGGGTCTTTGGTCTTTTGATTGCCTTTTCACAGCGCCACCTCTAGGTGCAATAGAGAAGTGTGCGGGAGTTACATCACCTTGTTACTCAACTCACATTGGTAAGCTATGTAACATACAGTTGAGTTCAAATATCACTCTTCCATACTAGAAGATCAGTTCAATTAGGAAAAAGTTACAATTATGCAATCTGATGAAGCCGACGTTTTTATACGCTGCGCAACAGCGGTTAAGTAACATGACTAAACAGGTTAACCTGGATCTGTCAGTTAACCAGCTCAGCCTAATGAACCAGTCACACTTGGTACGTTTCCAAACGAGAACTTCCTTATAAATCACGAAGGTCTCACACATCTTCATATAATCACCTTACACACGCATTAAGATGCTGACAGGTCAGAATTCGTAAACAACTTACCACCAACGTCCTACTGTTGCGGAAAGCAACAGCGCTGCGAGTAAAAGAAATGCACGCAGACATCTTCCACTTCTGTGTTGTTATGTAGTGTTAGTGTAGGATTTCCTTTTTTACGTTAGCGGCTTCAACAGTTTCAGATATGTAAACTGCAATCTGCTCCTCCTCCTAACTTTAATGCCAGCGGGGCGTGAATTTGTCCTCCGTCAATAAAGAGCGACACGCTAAGTAAACGTGCTTGAAGCCAAAGCGTCTTTCAGGGATCCCATGGTTATGGAAAGCCTGGAAACAATGTGGAAACATTGTGCTTTTCAGGCCTGGGAAAGTCATTATATATATAATGCATATATCAAGCATATATAATCAGCTCCTTTTTGCTTATATAAATAATACAAAAATACAAATATTATATTAAATATATATAATTATAAATAAATAAAATATTTAATATAAATAATAAATATTAATAAAAAAAATTATAAAAAATAAAACATGTATAATTTAAAAATATATATGTTATACATTTTATGTGAGGTCCCCCATGGTTTTAACTATTAAAAAAGAAACTGTTCTGGAAACAGCCGCTGATAATTAAAATCCATAAGCAGATAAGGCCACAATTTGTTTATCTTATGATATGAGGATCAACACCTCCAAAGGTCAGGTTTCATAGTTCATACAGGAAAAACCTGCCTTCTCGGCCCTAAAAATAAATAGGCATTATTAAACTAAATGGAGAACTACCTATAGCACAGATTTGCCATTATACATAATGCTGCATCTTTTAGAGATTTTATCATAATAGTTGGATGAAATGTCTGACATCATTATTCTTCATTATTCAGAAATGGGTTACATTTAGAGAAATGCGCGATGCAGGTCAAAACCTCAAATCATTTTTGGGTGAACTATTCCTTTAAGAATACTCATATACAAATATTAATACATCATTAAAACCTACACCCTGTGATGTGGTTCATTTTAGCTTAGTATTTTCTTACTTAACCTGTGTGAAAACATTAGTGAAAACAACTATTCAGGTTTTTGCTGTACAAAATTTTGCTGATCCACAGCAAAATACTAAATGCCACACACAAAGGTATTTATTCTGCAAAACTCATCACTTTAAAAGGGAAAACAGGGTAGAAAGGATTTTAAAACACCTTTGACAGCATTTTAAGATAAACCCATAGGAACAGAGCACAATGACATAGCAGTCCATTGTCTTAGAAGCTCAGCCGCTTCGCCATGGCTATAACAGCGGAAAACTGGCTTTTATATATTTAATCTTATGGAGTTCCCGAGATGCGAATCGATCTTGAGTGAGGTTTTCCTCTCTAGTTTGAGAGACATCAAGAATTACGGTTGAAGAAGCATTAAAACATCCCTTCAAGATAAAACAGGAATGGTGTTCATCGGTCTTGTCTCATTTCCACCCAGAGATCAGCATTGACTCCTGGATCAAAAGCAATCTTATTCAAGCCTCAAGAGTAGTCCACGTTTATCTGTCAAGTGAGTCCCACTTCTGCCAGAAGAGCTTCTAACAGATCACTTTGACCTTATGAGTCAGTGTAGGGTATATTGAGGCAAATTGGAAAGGATTTTATTTAAATCTGTCGTTGTCCTCAATGATATTTCATTTTCCACCCTAAACAGAGCACATTTATAGCCTTAAGTGGTTTAATGTCAGTCACTGTAAATCAATGTCAAATATATGTCATGCGTTTGAAAACAAATCTCTTATGCTCGCCAAGGCTGCATTCATTTGAAAAATACTACAAAAACAGTAATGTTATTACAAGAACAGTTTTCAGTTTTAATGTATTTTAAAATGTACTTTCTCTAGTCGTTACTCCAGGCTTCAGTGTCACATGATCCTTCAGAATTCATTCTAATATGCTGATTTGGTGCTCTGTTATATTATTATTATTGGAGGTTAAATACTAAAGCTCTTTTTATTATCTAATATTATTGCTTGAGACCCAAATCAGCATGTTAAAATGATTTCTGAAGGATCATGCGACACTGAAGACTGGAGTAATGACTGCTGAAAATTCAGCTTTGCCTTCATAGAAATAAATTGCAATTTAAAATATATTAAAATAGAAAACAGTTATTTTAAATTGTAATAATATTTCACAGCTGTTTTACTGCAGTTTTAATCATATAAATTCAGTCTTGGTGAGCATAATTGTGATATTTCTTTGAAAAGCAATAAAAAAATCTTGTCATATTATATCAATATCGTATCATATCAATTGTTCTAAACTGAAAGTATTAAAGTGTCACTTTCTCATACTAATTTTTTCCACCTAATACAGCATTAGAACTGTTTTAAACTCAGCAGTTACCACAGGTTCTGGTTGCTATACAATATTTAGTTTGAGTCCTTATTAAACATAAACTTTCGCCTCAGAAACGTTTCCCCTCAGCATGCATGAATGTTATGTGATTGTCCCATGCACACCACCTTCAGTCGTTGAGAAATGACACATCCCAAAACTAGGGGTCACTGTTGTGCTTCAACGGCACTTTTAATAAAACAGACATTTTATCTTCACAACAGCAATGTCTGGACATAAAGAGGAAGAGAAAATTGGGTCAGGGCTCTGTGTGCTGGCAGGCTGGTTGTTCTTGTTTGAGTTTGGAGTAGTTTAAAAGCAGACCAGGAAGAGCTATTGGACACAGTGTATGGAAGACAAGCCAAGTGCTAGCAGTTCTCTCACATATGACGGATGACGTTCAAAACAGCAAAAGGAGCCCTGACCGCTCATTTCAACCTTCCTGCACTCTCCTTTATTTACAGATAAAATGAATACATTCATTTATTTCACGTAGTAACAAAGCTAATCGATCATTTTTTTAGAGTGATCTCTTTTTCATCCATCCAAAAAGTTCACATATCACATATCAGCATTCAAAATTCTTTCCTCTTTATGTTTTTGTCTCTTTTTTTACAGTTCATGACTCGTCTCTAAGAACTTCCTACTCCCGTGTTTGCTTAAATCCCATAAAACAATATGTATAACTATTTACAAGAGCATTAATCTCTAACTATACCATCACAAAACCATAACCTTGACCCTCCCACCCCACCCGCTTATCACCCCCCTCCCAAAAAGTTGTATTCTGATGAAAAAGCTAAAAAAAGGTGGGGGGGGGGGGAAGCAAGGAAAAAACATGAATCGACTCCCAGTGTCTCACAAAACCATTTCTCGCATCCTCCCCCATTCTAAAAGTGCATGCCTAGATTCAGCAATTGAAAATAAAATGCCTGTACAGAAAAAAAAACCTTTCTAAACCATTCGCCAAACGTGGCGAATGTAGACACAGATCAGCATATTGGCAACGATAATCTTCTTTCTTCTTTTGGCAAATACTCAAGTGGTTTTTGAAGGTCTAAAAGATGTAGTGGAACAATTAAAGTGGGTCTCTGAGGCAGCAGCTGGTAATGGAGCAGTTTTGGGGAAACTGTCGTTAAAGTCAGAGGTGGCGGGGGCTGGGATGACCATTGTGATAGAGCTTCTGCTTGATGTGCACCATGTTTCCGCTGGAATCCTCCAGCTGCCGGAGCTGTGCGCGTCTACGGAGGTCCCGAAGGTTGCAGAACTGTGGCAACCACGACCAGGAAGGGGTATCTGTGAGCAGCACAGAGAAAAGCGCATTAGCATCGGTCAAACGTTCCATACATTCCTAATGATTAAGCTAATGAATTGAGTTAAGAAAAGGAAAAAATGTACAGCTTACAATGAACCAGCATGTCTACACAATGTGTTAATTGAAAGAGCGTGTGGGTCCAGATGTGGAGACCGGGGTAGAGGTGTAGCGAAACCACAGAGAGTTCCTCAGACAGCCCCGCCCCGCACAACTAGCCCTGTTGGAAGTGTGTCAGTGTGTGTGCGAGGGAGGCGATGGGGGAGCGGGGGGTTATTTATAGCATTCCATGGGTATGCCATCCACTAGGACTGTCGTGAAGGGTATACAGAGGAAGACGGTGAATAAGGGTTTTTTAAGCCTTCTAGCTGGATCAAAAGAAATGGAGGAAGAGTTCGGTGAAGAGCTGAATATTAAAGGAATTCAGTAATAGAGAGTTCCTTTGTTTAAACAAAAGAAAGATAGGGGATGTTGGTCGTACGCAATCATTATTAGCACGTTTATAGCAATATTAAAAAAGTAAATGTATAAAAATATTTCATTAAAATATGAATATATATTTCCTGGACCACTAAACTGGTTTTAGGTAGCACAGATATATTTGTAGCAATAGCCAACAATACATTGCATGGGTCAAAATAATAGATTTTTCTTTTATGCCAAAAATAATTAAGATATTAAGTAAAGATCATGTTCCATGAAGATATTTTGTAAATTTCCTACCGTAAATATATCAAAAGTTCATTTTTGATTAGAAATATGCATTGCTAAGAACTATTACAACTATTTTATTAATATTTAGATTTTTTTTTTGCACCCTCAGATTCCAGATTTTCAAATAGTTGTATCTCGTCCAAATATGGTCCTATCCTAACAAACCATACATCAATGGACCCTTATGACTTATAACTGGTTTTGTGGCCCAGGGTCACACACATACATACATACATATATTGAATTTAATTTTATTACTACTGTGCTTTTCATTTTAGGTGCTTATTTTTATTTATTTATTTTCAGTGATTGTAACTGTTTAATTTCTTTGAAGGCTGTTTTTGGGTTGGTTGGGGAGAAACTGAAACTGTAAAAAGATGGTCTGTAACAAATAATTACATTCATTCTTCAAAATATGGATATACAGTACATATTCATAATATAATATATGAAAGTATTAGTATATTAAAAAATATATTATTACAATGTAAATCAGTTAATGGATATATTATTCCTGAACTGAGCAGAAAATAATTATTAAAATGTAAAAAATAATATATAAAATATAAATGTATAAAATATTGTATTATAAAAATTATAAGATTATTAAAAATGTCAACAATATAAAATATATAACAGCTAAATTTATAAAATATTTTATTATTTAAATTACAGTATATAAATCAGTTATCAAATATATCATTTCTGAACTGAGCAGAAAATAATTAAAATGTAAAAAATAATATAAAATATAACGTATAAAATATTGTATTATTAAAATTACATAAGATTATTAAAATGTCAACAATATATAATATGTGACCCTGGACCACAAAACCAGTCTTAAGTCGCTGGGGTATATTTGTAGCAATAGCCAAAAATACATTGTATGGGTCAAAA